GGGGACACCCCTGGTGCCTGGATCCCAACTGGATCCAGCTCCATCCCCACCACTGATCCCTGGGGACACCTCTGGTGATGGATCTCAACAGGATCCAGCTCCATCCCCACCACTCTCGGTCCAACACTGGGACACCCCTGGTGACTGGATTCCAGCTGGATACAGCTCCATTCCCACCACTCTCCAGGCCCAGCACTGGGACACCCCTGGTGCCTGGATCCCAATGGGATCCAGCTCCATTCCCACCACTCTCTGGGCCCAACACAGGGACACCACCAGTGCCTGGATCCCAGCTGGATCCAGCCTGTCCAGGTCCCTGTGCAGAGCCCTCCTGCCTCCCAGCAGATCCACACTCCCCCAGCTCGGTGTCACCTGGGATGTGCTGATGGTGGGACTCCATCCCCTCATCCCCATCAGCCATAAGGACATGGAACAGGACTGGGCCCAAACTGGGACACCCCTGGTGACTGGATCCCAGCTGGATGCAGCTCCATCCCCACCAGTCTCCGGGTCCAACACTGGGACACCACCAGTGACTGGATCCCAACGGGATCCAACACCATCCCCAGCACTGATCCCTGGGGACACCCCTGGCGATGGATCCCAATGGGATACAGCTCCATCCTCACCACTGATCCCTGGGGACACCTCTGGTGATGGATCCCAATGGGATCCAGCTCCATTCCCACCACTGATCCCTGGGGACACCCCTGGTGCCTGGATCCCAATGGGATCCAACACCATCCCCACCACTGATCCCTGGGGACACCCCTGGTGATGGATCCCAATGGGATCCACCACCATTCCCACCACTCTCTGGGCCCAACATTCCAGATGGATCCAGCTCCATTCCCACCACTCTCTGGGCCCAACATTCCAGATGGATCCAGCTCCATTCCCACCACTCTCTGGGCCCAACACTGGGACACCCCTGGTGATGGATCCCAATGGGATGCAGCTCCATCCCCACCACTGATCCCTGGGGACACCCCTGGTGCCTGGATCCCAATGGGATATCCCAAGGATATCAAACAGAACCACGGAGTCGCTCCCAGGACAAACCCCTCCCCGGATCCGCTTCCAGAGGCACACGGAAGCAGCTCCCCGAGCTTTTTCCCGGCTCTTCCTGGCTCTTCCCGGTGCTCACTTGTCGAGGCAGGCGACGCTGAGGCACTTTTCCTGGGAGAGGGGCTGGGCGGGGCCGGCGGGCGCGGCGGCTCCGCCGGGATCGGGATCGCTGTCCTGCAGGATGGAGTCGATGAAGGTGGACGGGGACAGGGGGGTCTCGGCGTTCCCGGCGTTGTTCCCGGCGTTGTTCCCGGGGCTCGGCTCCTCCACCCGCGGGCTCCGCTCGGGGCTGGGCGGCTCCTCCTTGATCCGCACGGCCGGGCTGCTCCTGCGCCGGGAAAACCGGGAATGGGGAAACGGGGGGATGGAATTCTTTGCTCCCAGGGGACGCTCCGAGGTCTGGGAGCTCGGGGATGAGGGGATTGGGGTGTTCACCCCGGAGAAGGGAAGGATCCAGGGAGACCTTGGAGCACATTCCAGGGCCTGAAGGGGCTCCAGGAGAGCTGGAGAGGGACTGGGGACAAGGGCTGGAGGGACAGCACACAGGGAATGGCTTCCCAGGGTTAGGTGGGATATTGGGAAGGAATTCCTGGCTGGGAGGGTGGGGAGGGTCTGGGATGGAATTCCCAGAGAAGCCGTGGCTGCTCCATCCCTGGGAGTGTCCAAGTGCTCCAGGAGAGCTGGAGAGGGACTGGGGACAAGGGATGACCCAACAAAGAGGGAAAAAAGGAGCTGGGAGAGCAGGAGGAGCCGAGGGAAGGGGGGTCAGGAAGTTCAGGAGAGGGCGGGAATGGGGCTGAGCGGCCACACCCCGGGATGCAGGGAAAGGCTGCTGAATTCCCTGTGGAATGGGAGAACCTCTGCCAGGGAATGGGAACCCGAGGGGGCCAAAAAACTGCGGAATTTTTTTTTAGGGATCCTCCCCCTGCGTGGTCTGGGATAAACCCAGGATTAAGCCGGGATAAAAAGCTGTTGCTCTGGGTTTTTCGGGAATGCAGCTGCTTCCTGCACCCCCTCACCTGTGGAGCAGGTTGGGAAGGGCAGGCCCAGCTCCCCCCCCGCTCCCAGGAATTTGTAATTCCATAGGATGGAGCAGCCGGGGTTCCTTGTGGGAAGCAAACTGTGCCCCCCCATCCCAAGAGGTTCCCACTGGGAGGAGGAGGGAATGTCGCTTGGAATAAGGAATTAAAGCTGAGCAAACCCAACCCAGAGGGGAATTCCCGAACAAAAACGCTCCGGAGGGACAATTCCAGGGCTCCGGAAAAATCCCGGCTGAGGAAACGGGGCCCGAGCTTGCGGCTCTGCATCCAGCCCCGGGCATTTTCCAGGGAATTCTCAACGGGATAACAACATCCTGACAGGGTTTGGCCACTGGGCTCGAGGGGAACACGAGCTCTCTCCAGGGTTTTTTTTTTGGGAGTGGGATCCCACCTTCCGTCCAGGCTCCCGCTGGGAGAGGCCGAGGGGCTGGACTGGGCCAGTTCCGTCACGTCGGAGATGATGGGGCCGGAATTGGCCGAGGAATCCGGGGAATACAGGTTGGAGCCGCTGTAGGCGGGGGAGGAGGCCTGGAATGACAAGCACAGGGCCCGTGGAGAGCCCAGAATTCCTGGAATTCCACCGGGAACAGGGGCACGGAGACCCCGAAATTCCCAGGGGAAGGAGAGGTGCGGCCCGAAATCCCAACGAGGGAGAAACAGGTGTCCCAAAATTCCATGGAGGGAGGGATGGAATTCCCAGAGGAGCTGTGGCTGCCCCATCCCTGGGAGTTTCCAAGGCCAGGTTGGATCACCCTGGGATAGTGGAAAAGTGTCCCTGCCCACAGCGGGGGGGTGGGAATGGATGATCCCGAAGGTCCTTTCCCACCCAAACCATTCCATGTTTTGTGCCAGCCGGGCACTGCAGACATCCCAAAGTCCTGGAGCGCTGGATTATTCCCTGTTCCAAATCCCAGTGTTTGGGTCATTCCCTGTTTCTCCCAGTCCCTTGGGAGCACCAAGGACAGGCTGGATGGGTCGGGGGGGGCCCATTCCCACAATCCATCCCCACACTGAGGGTCTTTTTTTTTGGGAAAACGCAGCTGGCACTGACTGAGCCGAGCTGGTTTTTCGGGAATACAGAACTGATTTGATCCCTGGCAAAGCAGAGACTCCGGAATTGCCAGGATCCCCTTCCCTCTCACTGGCACCTCGCTCCAAAACACTCCCAAACTCTCCTTTCCCAGTCCCATCTGGAGCTGAAAATCCCAATCCCAGGCTCCTGGAAGGGCTCCCGTGGCAGATTTGCTGCCCTTGGAAAGGGAGATCAGAGGATGGAGGGAACTGGAACGGGATCAGAGAGCGGCTCTGGGGGGTGGGCTGAGGCCGAGGGGGGGGTTGGAATGGGCTCAGCTATCCCGGGATTCTGCTCAAAAATTCACCAGGATCACCTCGGGGCTCCAGGGAGTCGGGATGGGAGAGCCAGAGGCCCAAGCCCTGGGAATGGAACGGGATGTTCCCAGGCAGGATCAGAGCCGGGAACTGGGACAGCTCTGCTGCTGCTACAGAGAGCTCAGCTGGAAAGCTCAGGATGTTCCCAGCTGGAATGTTCTGCTCCTGGAATACAGCAGTGCCAGAGGATCCAGGTAACAGAAGTTGGAGCCGGGTTGGGAGAGCTGGGAATGTTCACCTGGAGAAGGGAAGGATCCAGGGAGACCTTGGAGCTCCTTCCAGGGCCTAAAGGGGCTCCAGGAGAGCTGGAGAGGGACTGGGGACAAGGGATGGAGGGACAGCACACAGGGAATGGCTTCCCAGGGTTAGGTGGGATATTGGGAAGGAATTCCTGGCTGGGAGGGTGGGGAGGGGCTGGGATGGAATTCCCAGAGAAGCCGTGGCTGCCCCTGGATCCCTGGGGGTGGCCCAGGCCAGGTTGGATGGGCTTGGAACAACCTGATCCAGCTGCAGAAGTCCCTGCCCACAACACGAGGGTGGAATTGGATGGGAATTACGGCCCCTTCCCACCCAAACCAGCCTGGAATTCTGTGATTCCCTGCACCTTGCAGGTCTTTGTTCCCTTCCCACAAATCCAGGGCCTTGTTCCCTCTCCACAAATCCAGGGCCTTGTCCCCATTCCCACAAATCCAG